TGCTTCCCGCAGCTCCCATTGGCCTGGAGCAGCGAACTGCGGCCACTGGGAGCCGTGATCGGCCTAACCTGCAGACGCGGAAGGTAAACAAACTGGCCCGGCCCACCAGGGGCTTTCCCTGCAGAAGCGGCGGAACAAAATTGGGAACCACTGGTCTGGACAAACAAAAGTCTATGCTGTACACAAGAGCTCTAGGAGGTAGTGGTGCATGTAAACATGTACTATGGGTAGATATTTGAGTGTGAGTAATTGCACCTTCAGATGAATATGCTGAATTCACAAGTATGGCAGGCACTCATTAGGGAAACATCTGAAAATTTGGCCTATGCATGCAAAATGGAAAGGGAGATTTTGCTGAACTGGAGGTGCACTATAAAAGCTGCTCCTTATTATTGTAAGGAGATTTTTGCATTACAAATCTGGGTTATTTAATATATTAGCCATTTTAAATATCATAGGGCTGAAATGTGGCACCCAATATCCACACTGGTGAGGCAGTTTATTTTATTGAAACACAATCATTAGACTATTTTCAGCCATTTTGCAGCTAGAGAATTGCAGAATATTTTGCCCCAATTGTTAATATTAAAAATAACATTTTGCATGTGCTTAGTTCTTATAGCAGGCTATGCCCTTTTGATATTTTGAAAACATAAAAAACAATAACTGCTTCAAAGCAATGAAGATAATTCAGTTTGAATGTGCATTGTTGTCTCAATGTTATAATAATTGCTTCATGAAATTGCACAGCCTGATTTTAAAAATGAGGGGGCGGGAGGGGCTGCAGATCACATCTGTGTTGTATGCACACTTGCATATATCCGAGTATGTGAGTGCCCATACAAATCAGGTTTGTTCATATACAGGCATGTGTGTTCATCCCACTTGGGCACACATCAGATTTGCATGTTTTTTGGTGGTAGGTGTCTGCATAAATGGGGCACAGACCTCTGGCCTCTGCCTTGTAAAATAAGGGGCACAGTTACTCCTGATGACATTGTGCGTAAACATTTTTTTAAAATTCTGCACCAAAAAAATTAAAATTCTGCACACAATAGTTTAAAATTCTGCAAATTGTATTTGACAAATAAATGTGGAGGCTCCAGCATGGCACTGGGCAGCACAGGCCACTGGCTTCACAGAGGTGGGAGATCACTGTGCAGCTATCCCCACCCCAGACACGGACTCAGCAGTGGGGCTGCACCCAACCCTGACATAGTGCAAGGACGGGGCCTGCCCCAGAAATACCCCAGGGCTCTGCCCCTCCATGCCAGGTACACCAGGTAGGGTCAGCAAGGCAGGATCCAAGTGTAGACGGGCTTAGTGTGGGGGGATCCACGTACAGGTTGAGAGAGTTCTGGGTGGGGCAATCTGGGTGCAGGCGGCTCAGTGGGGGATCCAGGTTCAGAGATGCACAGGGGCTTGTTGGGGAGTTCTGGGTACAATGGTAATGGGACTCTGCAGGGCGTCCAGGTGAAGGTGGTTGGGGCTTAGCGTGGAGGGGATAGAGCTAGGCAGGGGAGTCTGTGTGTGTGTGTGGGCTCAGTGGGGGAGTCCAGATGCTGGGGGAGTGGGGCTCAGTGGGGTGGGGATCCAGGTGCAACTGGTTGGGGCTTGGTGGGGTGGGAATCTGGGTGTGGGTGGCTTGTCGGGGTGTTCCAGGTGCAGGGGCTTGTTAGCTTGTTGGGGTTCTGAATGTGTGTGTGGGGTGAGGCTCAGCAGGAGGGTCTGCGTATGAGGGGGTCTGGATGCATGGGGGTGGGGCAGATGGGGGAGCAGCTTCCTGTACAGGGATCCTTCCCTCTGCAGCTGAGGAGCTATGGGTGAAGGAAGCGTAGCTGGGGGGAGTTTGCAGAGCTTCTTGCAGCTGGGGGAGAAATCTGGCGGTGGGTCTGACCTGGCCCCGCATGCTGTGTAGGGGAAGAGGAAGTCCCGTTCTCCTCAGCCCAGTTGGGACTAGCAGCTGAGCCCAGCACAGGGTAGGAGCCACCAGCCAGGTCTTCCCCAGTTCCACCTTCTGCCCCACAGTGATTTCTCTCTGCTGGCTGCCCTGGGCACCTGAAACATACTGCTGGAAAGGGTTGCATGACCACCCTTGTGGCTTCCCTTTGATTCCCCATCAGAAAGTCATTTTGCAGTCTCCATGACCATTAGTCTCTCAGACTACAAACATGGCCCCAGTTAATAACAGTTGTGACTAATTTTTGTGGTCTGGACATTTTCCCACCAGAAACTGTACTGAAACTACTGCCTTCTTTCATATAGGTCACCTAATAGATGGTGATTTGTAAGAGCTTCCCAGCTGCTCCTGGTCTGGGTCAGGATTGAATCGGTAGCCTAGAGGTGAAAAGCTTGAATCAGATTTCCAGTCCCTGGGGTCATCCAGGTTGCCAGCAAATGTGTAATTTATCTCTTGGATGCAAACCTGCTTTTGTCTGGAGGAGAAAGGAAGTGATATTTACAGTGGTTAGCAACTCTGATAACAAAATTGAATATCAAATTCTTTTAAGTGGAATATTCATATTTGAATATGAAAATCTTAGCTTTGGATGTGCATTGGAGTATAGTTCATTGCAACTATATTTTTAGCTATACAGAGGATGATATAAAGGAAATGTATTGTGTTAACGGACTTTGAGCTCAATCATGATCTTGCTGAAGTCAATGCCAACAGTGCTATTGGCTTCAGTGGAACCTGGATTGGGCCCTTTAGGAGAAAAAGACCTATTGAATCATCTTAGTCCATCTCCTTTCCAAGCTAGGACTGTTACCTATTGTACACTTACAAACGTTATACCAAGTTTAGATTTAAATTTGCCAATGATGAAATTTGCCCAATTTCTCAAGACTATTGGACAGTCTAACTGATCTCAGTTTTCCTACGTTTTTCCTGGTAGACATCTTAACTATTCCTCCTTTGGCTCCTAATTATTCCACTTTGAACTATTCTATGTAATTCCATATCCCTCTGGTGGTTTACACCTTTTTGTAGATTTTTATCATAGGCCAGCAACAAATTTTGGCTCCCCCAACCCCGATCATCTTCCTCCCACCTGGAGCAAGGGGGAAGCAGGAAGGGTATTATGTCTTGTCTGAGCACAATGCCTCCCAGGGCTACCCCTGAGATGATGTCATTGCCCTTCACCTTTTGCACAGGGATATGCCTAGCCCATAGATGTGAGAATTGAAAGCAGCAGATGCCATGAATTAGAGTATCTTCCTTTATCTCACAAATCAATTGCTCAAGTTACATAGTTTGACTGAGAATTTGTCAGGATTTTGCATAACAGAGAGAAATCTCCTTCTTTATTAGAGTTGTAGGGGTTTTTTTCCCCTTCATTTTGTCTCATGATTTCAATTACTTTTGATAATATGCATGAAGTGTTTTTTTATCTACAGGAACAAAAGGTGAAATAGAAATATGATTCTGTTTTCTGCCTTTTATCCCATATACTGTGCAAAATTATGAGCAGGCATGTGGTGAAGCCCTTTATTTATTTTTTTAACAAAAAGTATATTAAGCAACTATAACTATCAAAGATCAATAAATAAGCAAGATGTAAGAAATTTAAAAGTATTAAAGAAACATTTCCAAATAGAATTGGGATGTTTAAACATTTAGTTATACATTTTTTTTCAGTAGTCCTCTGGTTAAAACATACAATATTAAACAGTTTGCCAAAAGAAATTATCTGTGTTAAAATAATTGATGAAACAAAATCACTTCCATTATTTTTCTCGTACTCATTCTTCTGAATCTTAAGAGAAACCTTGGTTTTAAGTGCATCTCAGGTTAATTTCAGAATTTTTTATTTCAAATTGAAAGGTTGAAGTTACATCTGAATGCTTTATACTTCAGTTGGAGCTAACCTGTGCTACTCTTAGTTCTGTGGAATTGCATCTTAATCCTAAATAATTCCACTGAAGTTAGTGAAGCCACTTACGAAGTAAGGTACCACTCACTGGATGAAATCCTACCCCATTGATATCAATGGGAGTATTCCATTGACTTCAGTGGGACCAGAATTTCACCCAATGTGAGTAAGTATCACAGTGGAATCCTTGGACTTATTTTCTGTCCAAAACGAAGTTACTGTGTGTTAAGTTTAGTTGTCTTATTTTTAAACCGACACCCCACAGAAAGTTACAGCGAGCATGAGGGAGACACAAATACAGTCAATATATTGTAGTAATCAGACCACTCCCACCAAGTTCAGTATTATTAGAGTTCAGTGTTGGAGAAGTGAAACTCTAATTCTCTATATAGTGTAACATTGGCCAATTTTCTCTCAAGAGGCTCATCACATGCATTTTTATTTTCATGTCCACAGTAAGGAAACTTGAAATAATAACCAGGGAAGAACCTGAAAGAATAAACTAAAGAGAAAAGATAATTAATCCATGAAACAGAAGAAAAGAGAACCAAAATATTTGTATTATGTTTAGTATTATGTATATTTATTATGTTTGCTTAATCAGTGGAAGATGAAGGAAAAGAATAGATGTACTCATGTAGGGCTGAATTGTGAACCTGTTACTCCCTTTAAATGAGTAGCTATATATACGAGCAAACCCAGTGACTTCAGTAGGTCTACTTGAGTAAATAACTGCTTTCAATGGGATAAAACGTTTACAGCCCATATGATTTCAATGTTTTCATACCCTTACCCAGTAAGGGCTCCAGTGTTGTGGAGCTCCTATGAGGTGCTGAGCATACTCAATTCCCGCTGAGGTCAGTAGGAGCTGAGAGTACTCAGCAGCTTGCTGAATCAGACTCTAAAGTGGAGTGTATCTGAGATCATTTTATGAAATATTACATTACTCAAATATAAATTATATTAATTCTGCTGGAAGCCCACCATTAACAAAGTGTTGATTGAAATGCTTAAAGAATGAGGACCATATCCTAATGGAGGGCTGGTATTTGTCCTAGGATGACAATATGAATTTGTCCATGACAAATATGAACCCTAATTTCCTGATCCATTCCATTTCCACAGGGGCTATATTTCTCTTCCAAGATCTGGCCAATACATCACTTGCTGCAAAAATGAGTTGTGATAGTAAACTGCCAGGAGCAGAGGAAATATGCCCATCCTGGGAGACTTTTGAAGACAATGGTAAGAGATAATTTTCTTAGTTTTAGTTTTGATCATGGACCAGAAATTCCAAATAAAGGATCAGAACCCTCTTGTCCTGTTTTTATTCTTTTAAATTGATGTCCCTTTGTTTTTTGAAAGGATCTATTCTTTTTCTGATCCTTGTGGATGATTTACATTTTAGAAGTCAGAGCAAGTTTGCCTAGGTTCAACATTTATCCCAGTTCCTGTTTTAAACCCGAGTGCATTACTGGTGCTTGGGACCACATGGCTGTTTGAAATTCTATTGATTTTTTTTCATGGAATACAGAGATGTAGGAATATGGGGCCAGCCAATGTCACCTTTTTGATCAAGCTTCAAACATCCATAAGGCAGAAAAGGGGTTACGGGACTGCGGTTCTTTACTGGAAGTTCTTCATTTAAAGGAGTTGGGGAGATTTATTTCCTCCTAATCTCAGTCACAACAACAAGAAAATGAAACTTTACTTGTCTCTCACTATGGGGCCTTTAGATTAGCTTTCTTTTTTTCTAAATTATACCACATTTCATTTTCTATGACATCTGTGATGGAGGGTTCTGGACTGAAAGCACTTTCAGTGGGAAAATGCAGGGTCCCATGGAGTTAATTAGCTCAATTTAAAACATTTCCCTTAATACTTTATATTATGTCGCTTCAGGACAATTTTCACATCATACCTTTCTCAGCAATGCTTGGTAAAGCGAAGCAAATTCAGGTGCCTCAGCAACTGCTTAATTTTCTGCAAGCCACTCTCACTGATCAGTCTCGGTAATCCCTGAAGTGAAATCTAAAAAATAATCCCCCCAAACCTCGCCTTCTGCTCTTCCTGGCACTAGAGACTTCCCTTCCCTTTTAAGACCTGGGAAACTTTCATGACAGTTCAAGGAACAGTGTTATAGACCAGGGGTAACCAAACTGTGGCTTGCGAGCTGCATGCAGTTCTCTTACAGTTAGTGTGGCTTGGGGAGCCCATCACACCCCCACCCTTCTCTGTCTACCAGACTTGTGGGGCAGGGGAGAACTCAAGACCTTTGCCTTGCATAGGGGTGGTGGGGTAAGGGGCTTCTGCCAGTGGGGAGGTGGGTCTCAGGACTTCAGCCCCATGGGGCACACCTACCAGAGCTCAGCAAGAGTGGGGCTGAAGCCCCAAGCCCCAGCAGGTGCCCCTTGCAGGGCAGAAGCCCCAAGTCCTGGCGGTGTGCCCCAGCTCTCAAACTTTTGAATATTGTCATGTGCAGCTTGGAGGGTCAGTAAGTTCAGTTATAGACACTGTTCACATTCAGATCCTGTTCCTAGCTAAATGAATTTGACCCTGTACTGCAGCACTGATGTTCCATATTATGTTGCAAACCATTATACATTACTTTGCCTTGAAAAGTACAATATTTTAGATCAGTGACTGAACAGGGGAAAAATAGTAATGGTACAAAAAAGAGAACTGATTAAAAAATTGTCCCTACCATCCATCTTTTCTCTTTCTCTGCTATATTTCTCTCCATTTCCTTTTTTTTTCTACTGGCAATGGCAAAAAGTTTGAGTGCAGCATACTCATGTATATTTGCCCAGTTCAAACCCAACTGCTATTGAAAGGCTTTCACACCTTTCCCTAAACTGTAAGGTTTATAGAAAAATTCCTTCATTTCCACTAGTTGGATACTATTTTTAAATGAAATTACCTTCTAAATGGATGTGCAACTGAAATTTTAGAGCCATCTCTCTTAACAGCAAAACTAAATATGACCTGAATAGCAGGTCATATTTAAGTATTTTTTCCAAAGAAAAACACCACTGAGGAATTTTAGATAAAGAGTAGCTGAGGATGTGTCAAATAAAGTGGCATAATCACCAAATTATGTGTCTGTTGTTGTCCAGCATATTGTCATATTCTACATTTCAGTGTCCAGAGCTGCACTTTTCACATAATCAATATTGATGCAAGAGATGTTATTCTTGGCTTACTATATTTGTAAAAATAATCAAATTCCATCAATAATGGGGGAAAAGGTCTAGTTCTATCAATAACAAAAGAAAGTACTGCAAAGACGCAATCAAGAGAAAACGCCACAGCCCAAATCACCCTGCACTCTTTAGGGAGGTGTTTAAAATCAAACTTTCTTTCCTAAATCTTTCCACTGTTGCTACAATCAGTGCACTAGAATTGCTAGTGACTGTGTCTTCTGGCTATGTGCTGAGCAGGGCTAGATAACAGAAGTTAAAACACTAGTAGCTGACCAACACTACACTCTTACTATTATTAATGCTGGTGGAGCTAACTTGTGGTAGCAAATGTTGGGGGAAGAAACCATAGTGTAGACAAGTCCCATGGCTTTGTAAAAGCATTGAATGCAGAGGCAGGTTGTGGTCTCCTAGTAAGAAGTGTACATAACCTGTTAGTAGTGTCAATTGGCCAAGAGTTGAAAAATAACCTGACTTTTGATGCCTCAAGAGTATGGACTTTTGAGTGGTGCATGGTAGGCACATCCAGATGGGTACAGGAGAAGAAAAGTTTTTTTTCAATGAACAAACACAGGAAGATTTATTGCAAGGATATACAATAAATTGAACTAAAGGCTTTCCTGTCATTTGACCCAAAAGATGACTGCAAAATAGGAAACTGAACGGCAAGGATAGTATGTTAGTCAAGCTAATCTCGTTGCTGCTTCTGTATGTGGCTAATGTAGCTAAGTAGAAATATATCATTTTATGCTCAAAGAAACCACTTACCTTATGAAAGAGAAATGTTTAAAAACAGATATCAAAGTGTCATAATCATTATTCTGTCTGCTTGGGAAGAACAGTAAGTATTGGGAGGGAACTACTTTATGTTGACAAGACTACGCTGAAATGGTGAAAGAGTAGATGAGATTTCTCTGTATGACCATGTCGGCTGCATTAATGAGAGATGGTGGAATTATCTGTGCTATGGTGAAACTCATGTCTAGACACTGGGCTTTCTCTGGCCATGGCTGTGGATCTCCATCCACTAGACAGTAGAATGATCATGGATGTTTCTGTAGATCCATCTCTTTATGCTACGTTCTCCCACAAATAGCGAATTTTAAATGGAAAAGGAAGGCAATTTAAATAACTGCAAGATGTCAAGTCAATGAACACAAACCACAAAAAAGAGCACCATCCAAGCAAAATGTGAAATTATGTAATAAAGACAAGTGCAAACTACTTTCACTTAGCAAAGGAAAAATCAAATGCACAACTACAAAATGGGGGAAAAACTGGTAGGGTGTAAAGTATCAGAGAGGTAGCCATGTTAGTCTGTATCCACAAAAACAATGAGGAGTCTGGTAGCACCTTAAAGACTAACAGACACTCCATGCATCTGAAGAAGTGGGTTTTTTACCCACAAAAGCTTATGCCCGAATAAGTCTTTAAGGTGCCACCAAACTCCTCGTTGTTTTTGGTAAAGTGTGGGAACTGCAGAAAAGGTCGGGGGTTTATAGTGGATTACAAATCAAATATGAGTCAACAATGTAATGCAGTGGCAATAATATCATTCTGGGATGTAATAACAGGAGTGTCATATGTGAGACACAGGAGGTAATTGTTCCACTCTACTCAGCATTGGTGAGGACTCAGATGGAGAATTGTGTCCATCCTTTAGGAAAGATGTGGACAAACTGGAGAGAATCCAGAGGAGAGATAAAAGGTTTAGAAAACCTGACCTATGAGGAAAAGTTTAAAAAACTGAGCAAGTTTAGTCAGGAGAAAAGAAGACTGAGGGGGGACTTGGTAGTAGGCTCCAACTACATTAAGGGCTGTTATAAAGAGGATTACGATCAACTGTTCTCAATGTCCACTGAAGGAAGGACAAGAAGTAATGGATTTAATCTTCAGCAAGAGAGATTTTGGTTAGATGTTAGGAAAATCTTTCTAACTATAAGGATAGTTAGGCTCTGGAATAGGCTTCCAAGGGAGGTTGTGGAATCCCCATAGAATCATAGAAGATTAGGGTTGGAAGAGACCTCAGGAGGTCATCTAGTCCAACCCATCACTGAAGGTTTTTAAGAACAGGTTGCACAAACACCTGTCAGGAATGGTTTAAGTGTACTAGGTCCTGCCTCAGCACAGAGGTCTGAATTTGATGACTTCTCAATATTCCTTCCAACCCTACATTTCTGTGATTCTGTGAACACACTATGGTCCATTCATCTACTGAATGGCAAGGAATGTGAAGCACAGCAGCGTGCTGGAGGTAGAGAGCAGAAGTATTAATAAATAATTTTTGCAACATAAAGAGTAACCACAATCTCAGAAATAAGTGAGCAACATATTGTCTTGTGATGTCCTGTTTGTGTGCAGTTTTCAAGCTTCTGTTAATAGGCCTTATAAAAGGGCTTGGCTGATGGGGAAAATACTGGGAGCAGATGGGGCATGGCTGGAGTGCAGTGCACTCCAGCTATTCTGGGGTGCATCTGTGGAGCCATTACAGGAATATAAATTAGAGCACTCCTGGGTCCAGTCTGACTTATGTTGGGGACTACTTCAGTACCCAGCCAGTGCCAGAATCCAGAGCACAAATATGGTGCACAACCAAGTTTGCTTTCCGTGTAATGCCCCCCGCTATTGGACTCACCTTCTTAGAGGCTGTGACAGGGCAGAGTGGCCCTGCACTAGTACCGCAGGGGTTAACCCTTCCTTCCTGGCAGAGGAAGCCCCGCCCCAGAAGCCCTGCTGGGCATGCTCCAACTGGAGACTAGGTATAAAAACCTGCAAAGCTGCTCAGTCTGGGCTGACCACCAGAGGAAAAGGAGGCACACCGCCAGCTCCTGAGGAGGCACAGCCAACACTCCAGGATCCAGCCAAGCTGGGATGTACCCGGCGTCCCAGACAGAGGTCTCGATTGGAGGGGGTGGACCGGAGGACCCCCACCCCCCTCGGAGTGGAGAACACGATGTTGATGGTAGGAAGTGACCCAGGGGAACTTTAGAGACAAGCAGCATTAAAGCTGCACTGACATGCGGCATGTTGCAGGAGGATCCCCAC